TCTGCTCGAATCCAGTGCATTACCTACTCACTGAAGAACGACTCGCCGAGTCCATTACCTACTCACTGAAGAACGACTCGCCGAGTCCCATGCATGTCATTACTAAACAGTCGATTCTGCTCGAATCCAGTGCATTCCATTCATAGATCTGGGCTCCTAGGGCTGGTTTTTCACGTAAAGTTTCTAACTTTACGTGCATGCATGCTAATATGAAGCTCAAATGCCCAAAACAAGCTAAAGGAAGAGATCTAAGCTTGGAATGGAAACTTGGCTCAATAAAGGTGGCAACCTTGAGCTTAAGAGGCTCTGGAAAGCTTAGATCTGAAGTCCATTCATCATATTAGCTCTTAATTCAACCTTAAAGTCTAGAAAGGGCTCAAAATCAACAAGATCAAACTTCTCAAGAGATCTAATTGATAATAAGCAAAGATTCGAGCTTGATACCTCAAAGGGGACTGAAATGCAACCAGAAGTCCGGATCTACTTGCTCCCCTTGAATACTTCTCTTCTCTCTTCTTTCCCCAAATCCCCAAGATGCACTAAAACCTTCACAAGTGAGAAAATGCTCCAAAAATGCTTAAGAACGGCTAGGGTTTCGTATGGGACTCTTTGTGGGTGAGGGAGGCTGGTCTGGGGGCACATAAGATGTTTAAATAGGGTCAAACCCTTGAAATTAGGGCTTCATCCAGACTGGAAGACTCGCCGAGTCCGGGAATATGGACTCGTCGAGTCGCCAACTTAAAACGGGTGCAAATCCCGTCTCTACTCAACGAGTCAGGCTACTGACTCGTCGAGTACCCCTTTAGAAGATGAAAATTACTTTATTTAAATCACATACCAGAAATGGGCCTTACAAGTTACGCTGGAGGCTTCCCTCAATAAGATGAACAACTTGAAAAACATTTATTCAACAACTGTAAGCCAAGGCTTAGTGAGTTTCCCAAATACCACATACCATAATATACATACAATGCATACAACAAATGACCTTCAACACTAATTTGGTCTTCCCCTTTGGCCTTCAGCATAAAGTTAATCCCCCCTCCCCTAGCCTTCAGCGTAAAGTTGGTCTGTGCGATTATTTTGGCCTTCAACATGAACCTGGACCGCTCTCAACTCACCATGTGATATGTCGACATATATAACAGACAAACAAAAAAACAAACAATTCAACACAACATGTAACCGACTAAACTAGTCTCCTTACCTAACAACACTCTACAATATAACTACATCCTAACATATAGCGGATACATACTGCAATATAATATAGTGAAAAAACTTACTTGAATAATCTCGATGCAGCTAAATAGGTTGGTTTGTGGACCGCTCAACCAACACACAACAACCTATAATATACTATTATGGTTACTAACTATTTGAGCATAAAATCTAAATATTTAGATTATTCACCAATCCTAAAATATACTTTCATGGCTATCAAATAAGAATCGTCTAGTCAATACAGTCGGGAGGCAGAACCATTTCGGCATATAGATTTTCTGAAATCCAAAAACTAGGTCAACATGTTTATCTTAGACACCTCTTCCATAAGTAGCCAAATCATTATATAATTGGAATCAATGAGTAATCTGATTATTATAGGGTTCATAACAATGACTAAGGGTATGATCAGTTATAGATTTAACAAAGTATGAATATCCTCGAGTGGAACTTCGACGCCTTCTTTATCCTACTGAAACTTCTAGAGGTTCGCTAATTAAACTATAAAACGAGAATTTGTATCACGAGGGACCAGAATGCTCGAGGATGTGTGTGTGTGCGTGAAAAAGATAGATAGATAGATAGATAGATAGATAGAGAGATAGACTCTTGAATCAATAGAATATGGCAATAAAGTGAGGAGGCCTGAGCCTCTTTTTATAGGTGCGTTTTGTGCACGTCGTACTGCGGTGGATGATTCGATCCATCCTCTCCTGCTTGCACGTACAAGTCTATTGAGGAGTGGTTGCATTTAAGGCACCATGTCGTGATGCATGAATTTTTGCGCCACTGTGTTTTTTACAAAAAATGTTCAATCTTATAAAAATCACAACTTTCGCATACAAACTCCGTTTTCGGCGTTCTTTATATCCACGCTTTCGTGTCTAAGTATAACTTTCATGTGGATCATTTTGGCTAAAAAGCGATATATTTTCACTTCTGTTATTATAAACAAAGGTTTGTATGTTATAACTTTTACAAGTGAAAACGAGTGTTACACTCTTATATGCTCAAGTTTACGATTAATGTTACCTAACCTTAACCTTAGGATTTGATCGATCTCTAGTCCTAACAATTTATTATCATAAATTTATGAAGATACAAGTTAATATAACCATATTGGTATTCTAAATCATATATAAGTCATATGTAAGCAATAAAATCTAAACTTTAATATGTAAGGTAGGGTGAATCCAAAAGTAATATATAATCAACTTTCACAAATCCAAATCAACAAATCACACCATAGTATAAAGGATTATATACATCTAAGTAGAAGAATAAGGTTTTAGCCCATAATCTCTATAGAAAAAACATAACATAATCGAATAAGTAATGCTAAACATGATTATAATAGCAAAGCTAACGATCTTCGTAGTTTATTCACTTTCATCTTCAAAATTACGCCTCCTCCTTGTTCTTCTACCTTGAATACGATTCAACGGGTTTATTTTCGTAATATAGATATATTTTATGCACAAAAAATCAGATTGCAAAATCTTGTATGTATAGAATTTTAGATGTCGCGTCGCTGGCCTTTATAGTTGCGTCCCTCCGTGTGATCTGCCCATTCTATTGCCTTTTTACGTTGCTATTTTTGTTCTTCACAACACTAAACCCGAATTTTATGGTAAGTTCGATTTTAATTCTTATCAGCTCCATTATTTTCCTAATCTTTTCCCTTTTCTTCTCAAATCTGAATTTTAACTATATTTATCCAATATAAAGCATATTAAGTATCATTTATCTTTAAAATACAACATTATAGAATAAATTATTAAGATAATTGCCCAAAATTTATGACTGGTTAACACAATATCAATCTTTGTGATAGTATATTCATATGGAAATGATTAATAACACCTTAAGGTCCTTAATGACTTGAGACTTTAGTGTATGATTAGTGTCTTCATGGATGCCTTGATTCTATAAGGCTTTAATCCTTAATTTAACAGGTCATAAGCAAGTTAAAAAGTTAGATGAGGTGTTTATAAGACTTATTTTACTCATTAAAAATGGTTGGTGAAGTTACATAAGAGTTGAAATCCATTAAGAACATATGGACCAATGTTGATGTTTGATGTCTACATGAGGTTCCATATAACTCTTGTGATGTTGAAATGTCTTAATCGTTAAGTCATAAATAAGAATACTTAATTGACATGTAATAATGATGTTATAACTTATTTATGTCATAAATAACTATTAGTGAAGTTTGGTAGAGTTTGGACGCCATATAGGCAAAGTACAATGCCTAAAGGAGTAAAAATGTTACATTTTCAACATAGTGGCCAAGGCTTTGGAACAAATTTAAAAATATTTGTAGTTTAATTTTAGTTTGTCCAGTCAACCCCTAATTGTTTCCATATTCACAATGAGAGTAAGAATAAGTATTTAAGACCTAAAATGAGTTAGACAACTTATGATTGTGTTTTGGTCTAAAATCATTTGATTATGATCAATATATGGTGATTAAGAAGTAAGAAAGCTTGGAAGAAGGTGGAATATCATACAATGTTATTGAGCGAGTTTACTGGGAGTACATGTTCCTATATATAATTTGGATGATTTAAATTTATATGATATTCCTTTATGTGCAATGTGTCTGTTATACACATTATGTGTGTATTGCATGAAAATTATTCTGAAAGTAATTTACTTACTTGAGAAGTTTTGTTGGTTTGATTTTTTTTACATCCTTATGTCCATTCATGTAGGATAGGATATTGTGGGTGTCACTTATGATATCTATATGAGATTTGAAAATTAGGTGTCGGTATAACGGTGTGTGAATAGATTTCTAGATAATCTTCATGTTGCATAAGTGTCTCTAGCTACCATTTGTGTGGTGTGTGTGATGATTCACAAATCACACACTTTGACTAGAACGTACACTGAAAGTGTATTATGTCAGTCTCAATAAGTCTAAGCTCTTAGTTGTTACCATTAAGTTTTTTCGTTAGAACAACGTCAAAATTATATTAAGCTAAAAAACAACTAGCAACGTGCAAGACAAAGCATATTACAAATTACAAGTCAAAAAAAGGAAAAACATTAATCGCTGTAATCAACTCTATAAAATTTAGCCATAAACTCAATCCAAATACAAAAGTTGAAATGAATTTCATCTCTTAATTTTCTTTTTAAAACAAGACAACATTACGAGCCTTCTAAATAGACCAAAGATATCATTTAGTAATTCCAAATAGACAAAAGATACCATTTAGTAATAGCATATAATAAGGTCTTGATATATTCAAAATTTTTTATTATTTAACTTGCGGAAAACTAACAATCAAGTTAACATAAATATAAATAAAAATGTGTTAGGTTTCATGAAAGTGCTCTTATCCCTATTTAAATAGATTATCTCATATTTTTTTTACTATCTCAGTTATTTTATGTACAAATGCTTGACATGCTATATAAACACCACCCCTCAAAGTTAGCATGGCAAAATAGCAAACTCAAATGAGAGAGAGAGTTTTTTTTACCAAGTTGATCCACTCCCTTCGTCCTTAAACAAGGTTTATTTGAAGTTACAAAATTGTAGGGATTGTTTTTGTACAAAAATATAGTGTAGGGTATGTATATATGATTTTCCAAAAAAAATTCCGTGTTTTTTTTCTAATCACTTTCCCTATATTCACTCCATTTTCCCGCTTATTTCTCTCGATAAAATCCCGCCTCTCTCTCCCCTTTGCCCCAAACGCAGTCCCTCTCTATCTCTCTCTAACCACCACTTTCTCTCTCTAGCCTTATCCTCTCCGGCCGCCATGAACCGCCGCATCAGAAAGCAATCTGCTGCCGAGAAGTCCGACAATGGCTACCTACGTTACCTAAGGCCTGGCGCCCTCGCTCAGCTCCGTGACTCCAAAATCAACGCTAGATCTCTTCTACGATCATGCAACTCTCAGATCTATCTCCATCGCGCTATTCCATCTTCACCTTCACGCTCTTCCGAAGCCGTCGGTTCCATCCAGCAACAGCAACAGGAAGTTACCGGCACTTTCATCACGACCGATGGTGAATTGCCTTTTCTCTCCGGAAGGTCATATGCGCCTCGTTGTCCACAGAGGAAGAGGCTTACGGCTGCAAGATCGATGTTTTATTTAAACCATAACTCTACCAGTCTGACCTCCGATGGCCCTGAACCTGCCATTGACGTTTTCAGTACTGATTTCCTTGTTGCTCATTAGCTTAGCAAAATTAGTAGTTCCTATCGGTTAATATTGTACTAGAAAAGAACAATTTTTACAGCAGATTAGTTGGCGTCGACCATTCGCTATCGGATGACAAGTTCTCTTGTTCCTTCGGGGGTTATGTGAAAATTATGTCAACTAGGGCTCAGAACACAATAAATAAAGTCATTTATTGTTCAATTGATTTCACTCTTGTTCCTAAATCGCTATATGCTATTTATACCCTAATTAGGGTTCTTAAGCTTTTTAATTACTGATTGTAAATGCATATAGTTGGGATCTGAATAGCCTATTCCTTCACTGATTATTTACTGGCTTTATAATCCAGTTTGATAGTATCATATGATTCGTATCATATTCTGTATGTCTGATTCTTCATTACTCATAAACATGGTATTCAACACCTCCTTATTGCAATTTTTGAACAATGCCATGGATCTGTTCTTGCAATATAATCTGATTCTGCCAGAAGCCATAAGATACTACAATCATACTGTAAGTTTATCCAAAGATGTTCATTAGTAGATGCTTCTATATTGTTATCTCTTATAAGAGTTGATGAATTGTTTATTGCATAGTACTTCATAGTTCATAATTCATACAAAGTACTAATGCCATCTGGAGAAGGGACTTCATTTACATAGTAAGTGATTTTAATACTTAACTTGTTATCTCGGTTTTATTATACAATAATACAAGCTAAATTGAGCTATTAGATTGTTAAACATAATGAATTCACAAAATTTTTATTTTAGTTTTAAGTTGCATGCTGTTTGTGTTACAAAGATCTTATAAAAGAAAGAATTAGCACATTGTCCTAAAAAGGTGAAAAAGAGGTTGAAATTAATGGTTGTGTGTTTGTAGTATACTTTATAAATTTTGAGCTTTGAGTTTCAACTCGATGAACTACTATCAAACAACTTTGTGATGTTACTTCATTGTTGTACATGGTAAGAATTAGGCATATTTTTACATTTGTGTGTATTTTGTATGGTTTTCTATATTCTGTTTTGTGCTTTTTATAGATTTATTCAAAGTAACACATAGACCGGGTATTTGTAGAGAAATGAAAGTGAGCTCAGTTGGCATGGAAGTGGAATAAGGTTTGTGTTTCTGCATACTTTTCAGCTGTTTATCAACTCAGCAATCCAAAAAACTTAAGATATCTTTACTTTAGTAAAGTTTTGTTAAAAAGCTTATTTATGGGTCCCACAATAATTTGTATTTCTTATAACAAGATAAAAGAATAAAATATAGTTGGAATTGTGAAAAGCTCTATGTAGAGAGCTTGTAAATTCACAAAGTAAAAAAATTATGCAATGAAAAAGCTTTTAAATTTATTTGACTGAAAAAACTTTCAAGTATGCTCCTATCATGAATGTGAAGAAATGGAACGAATGAAGAAATGAAATGGAGTGTTTGTAGGATAAACAAGGTAGTAGAATGGGAGATTACATTCCATGATTCCATCATCATGTTTAGTTGGTTTGTAGGAGTGAAATTAATTTTCTTATGGATTTTTTTATATTATATGTAAATATAGTAGACAAGATTGCAAGAATGGTCCCTGTGGTATTTCAAAACTAGAAAGTTAGGTCCAAAATGGGTTTGGCTCGCAAAGATGGTCCAATAGTTTCGTTTTCTTGCGAGTTTGGTCCAATTTGGTTTGAATTTTTTTGTAAAGATGATTTTACCCCTTATTATTTAATTGTTCATTTTTATTTTATTAACAACAATTAAAAATCAATTGAAAATAAAACAAAAATAAAATACTCTCTCTCTCTCTCCACCACCGACGACAAAAAGGTGCACAGAGAGAGAGAGAGAGAGAGAGAGAGAGAGAGAGAGAGAGAGAGAGAGAGAGAGAGAGAGAGAGAGAGAGAGAGAGAGAGAGAGAGAGAGAGAGAGACTTTTTTTTTCTTTTTCTTTTTTTTTCTGTAATAAAAAAATGAAAAGGGGAAAATACCAAGGGCAAATCTGTCATTATAAATAGTTTTAAAATTTTTGGACCAAACTCACAACAAAACGAAACTATTGGACCATCTTTGCAAGACAAACTCATTTTGGACCAAACTTGCTAGTTTTAACATACCATAGGGACCATTCTTGCAATTTTGTCAATATAATATATAAAGTTCACTTTATTCTATACATTATTGTAATTATATATAACAAATTTTTATTTATAAAAATATAAAAAACATAAACAAATAAATAAGCTATACTAAAAATAATATATTTTGTAGTTTAAAAAATAGAATTGTAATATAAGTAGGAGTAAATTACACGAATCGTCCCTTGTACAAGTATCAAAAGACACATTTGGTCTCTATTTTAAAAAAATAACTTGAACTGTCCACCGTTTGTTACAAATTTGTTGCGTTTTTAGAGGGTGTTTGAGATTACTTTTTAAATAATTTTTTTACTTTTAACGTTTCAAAAAAGTTAAAAAATCCCAAAAGTAGTTTGGGAAATAGAAAAGTTATTTTCAAAACAATTTTTTGTTAAGAAGGAAAAATTTGTTTTTAAGTCGTAAAATCCTATTTTTTGGTGACTTTTAACCTAAGAAGTTGGATTTTACCCTTAAAGATAATACAAATACATTTTAAAAATTTTATTCACCGGTCAAAAGTCATTTTACAAAAAGGATTTTTAAGGTTAAAAAGTAATCCCAAGCACCTTACTCTGTTCTAGATTTAAAATGACCATAATGTCATTGTGTATTTATTTTTAAGTTAATCTAATAATATTTATCATTATTTTTAATTTAAAAAAGCAAATGGGTCCCACTTCCACCACTTACCCTCTACCTTCGACGACCATCACCTCACCTATGTCATCTTCCTCCCGCGAACATTAAGAAACCACATCATAACTTTGTGTTCCAGATCCGCCATAGATGAACTCAATTTAGGTTCGATCTAGGGTTTCTTTAAAATAAGGTTCAAAATTAGAGTTATACGAACGATTTTAGATCTGAAAATGATTTTAGTGTTTGTGTTCTTGATTCGGGTTTAATTTATGGGGTTGTGTTAAAAAATACACACATACTACCATCTTGTTCATGGAGTTCTAGGGTTTTTTGTAGCTTGTTCTCCCCTGCAGATATGCACCTCAAAAGGCATCATCGACTGCCAAATCTGAAATCGTATGTCGATCTGCACCTTAGATGCAACGTAGATGGTGGAGATGGGATCGACTATAGAAGCTTAAAGGGGTTATCGATTTTGGTTTGGGTGTGGTTATGGGGGTTGATGCTCGATATTCAAGAACACAAATAAAATTAGGAAGAATGGGGTTGGGTTGAAGGGGTGTAGTGGTCCAGAAAAAAAAAACAGTCCTCCCTCTTTCTCCTCTAAACCTATTAGTCGTAGAAGAGGAGATGTTGGCATAGTCGACTTCTCCGATGGGCATCTGGAAGAGAACAAAGAAAGAAGAAGAAAGGTAAAGGGGCGATGGCTGGGGAAGGAGGGTGGTTGTCGGCATTGGAAATGGAAGTTTCCGACATTCAATTTTACGACATTTTGGTGGAGATGTCTATGGTTGTAGACGGGGAAAATGACTTATATGGGTAACTATGTTTCAAAATCGTTCAAAAAATATCATTCAAGTTTGGTGTGTCCAAAAAACAATATCCAAGTAAAGCATTTGTACAAAAAACACCAACGAAGCACATTCTCTGTTCAAATTTGACCTTTGGTAACCGGCAACTACCAGTAAAAAATAAGTAAAGGAAAAAAAATAATAGGAAATGACTCAAAGAGGTAACTATGTTTCAAAATCGTTCAAAAAACACCATCCAAGTTTGGTATGTTCAAAAAACACCATCCAAGTAAACTTTTTGTACAAAAAACACCAACAAACTATATATTTTGTTCAAATATTACCCACCGGTAACTGGTTCTTATAGGTTAAATGATAACTTGGCTTAACTATTATGACATGGCATAATAATGATTGACAAAACAATAAATGATATATTCCTCCTTTAAAAACCGATTTAGGGTTTCTTCATGAACGAATGACTTATTCTTCTCCTATGATTGCTCGTCTTCTTCTAAAGTGATGATCTCGAATTCAAGTCCAAAACCCTAATTCTTAACTTAAGGCAAAAAGGGCTCCTTTACCCCTGCCTCAATGGACCTCCCTCCCCCTAAGGCCCAAATCCATAAAAAGCCCAAAAAGGCATCCAAACCCAACTACAAGGCATCTAAGGCCTAATATGGCCCAAGAACCCCCAACATGGCCTTAGCCAAAAAATGACCTGCTACAATCAGGTGGGCCCGAGGCCTAACTTAAACAAGTCTGTGCATAGTTCCATCATATTCGGATGTCGAGCGAGTACACCCGACGTACTCCTAGCGTACGCCCAACGTACTCGGCTAGGGTCAAGAACCGCCAATCTTCCGAAGGCCATAACTTCTTCATTCTAAGTGTGATTTCGTCATTCTTTATATCTACGGGAGCTAATTTAGGCATCAGACAGCCATACCGAGGGTTATGGCCTTCGGAAGATTGGCGGTTCTTGAGCCTAGTCGAGTACGATGGGCGTACTTGCATGAAATCCAGATCGCAGAGGCTTCAACATATGTTGGGCGTATGAATGGACTTGTTTAAGTTAGGCATCATGCCCACCTGATTGTAGCAGGTCATTTTTTGGGCTTAAGGCCATGTTGGGGGTTCTTGGGCCATATTAGGCCTTAGATACCTTGTAGTTGGGCTTGGAGTCCTTTTTGGGCTTTTTATGGATTTGGGCCTTAGGGGGAGGGAGGCCCATTAAGGCAGGGGTAAAGGAGCCCTTTTTGCCTTAAGTTAAGAGTTAGGGTTTTGGACTTGAGTTCGAGATCATCACTTTAGAAGAAGAAGAGCAATCATAGGAGAAGAAGAAGTCATTCGTTCATGAAGAAACCCTAAATCGGTTTTTAAAGGAGGAATATATCATTTATTGTTTTGTCAATCATTATTATGTCATGTCATAATAGTTAAGCCAAGTTATCATTTAACCTGTAAGAAGCAATTACCGGTGGGTAATATTTGAACAAAACATATAGTTTGTTGGTGTTTTTTGTACAAAAAGTTTGCTTGGATGATGTTTTTTGAACATACCAAACTTGGATGGTGTTTTTTGAACGATTTTGAAACATAGTTACCTCTTTGAGTCATTTCCTATTGTTTTTTTTCCTTTACTTATTTTTTACCGGTAATTGCCGGTCACCAAAGGTCAAATTTGAACAAAGAATGTACTTCGTTGGTGTTTTTTTATACAAATGTTTTACTTGGATGGTGTTTTTTGGACACACCAAACTTGAATGATATTTTTTGAACAATTTTGAAACATAGTTACCCATATAAGTCATTTTCCCTTGGAGATGAGAGAAGGGAAATGGTAAATGGTGAGACATATTATTTTTCTAAAGAGGGTGGAGTGGCGCCACAGTTTAATTATTTTTCTTAATAATTAAAAATAATCAAAAACCTTAAAAAATAAAAGAAAAATAAATAGAAAAGAGCAATATAGTCATTTTATGTAAGCGGACAATGTTTAATGATATAAGGGATGATCCGGATTAACTTTTAAAAATAGAAACTAAACGTTCAATTTAACATTTAAACGAAAGACAAATCGTGTAGTTTTCTCTATAAGTAAAATAATAAAAAGTATATAAATTGTGTTATTAAAATTACAATAATTAATGGAATTGAGGGAATTACATTCCTTTGGCCCATTCCATTCCAACTAGCAAAACAAACATGATTTCTTATTTTTCAATTTGCATGGAATAAAAATTTCCATTGTATGTTCGATTCCATCATACGAAACATTATGTAAGTTTACAGACGTGTCTTTATGTCAAATTGTTTAGATCCGGTTGGGTTGGGTTGTTTAGTTTTATATTTTTGAATTTTCTTATAAATTTTTTCTTGCAAAGAACATTAGTAGACATGATATATAAATAGTTAAATACAAACAAATTTAATTAAATAATTATAAAGATGTTAAAAAAGGTAAATATAAACATAAGTATGGTACTATTTTCTATTTTTTATTGATAACAATTAGAATTAATGCATGACAATTAGCATTATATATCCATTCCTTAAATTTTTTTTTATATATTTATAATTTTATTAAGTAATCGACGTATTTACTATGATTACAAAAATTATATCATTAAAATAATATTTTAGTTCTAATAAAACAACTAGAGGTTGTAAACTTTGAAACATTGGAAACCCATATGGGTGTGACTTTTGGCCATGTTTAGCATTTTTTTTATTTTAATCTGAAATTTTGATTTCTAGTTATTTATTCCATTAAAAACATAAATTATAACCTACATTAATATATTTTTAAATCAAACGAATATAAATGGGTAAAAAGGCTAATTGCGGTCACAAAAGTAGCTTTATTCTTTTCATAACTCCAATTTGCTGTGGAGCAATGGAAGACATCAGAAAATCATTAATTAGATGCTTAATTTTTCTCATTTCAAATGTTTAATTGAAAATTCTGATAGAAATATTTATAAATCATATATTTGTTCGTCAACATATGGTTTGCAAGTGTTTAAGAGGGGTGGTAGTGTACATTGTATATATCAATAGTATACGGACCATCTCTGTATATTTTAGTAGTTTCCTTCCTTAGGTTAGGTTTGATATGTTGTCTCAAATTCATTGTATTGGATCGCAGTTTCTAATACAAATCCCAAGCCTTCGACTCAATCTCATCTTCTACGTTGATATTTTATTGTTAAAGCAATGCTACAACAACCATAATATCATTATAACATAAACCACCATGATACAACCATATGATCAATAAATTATAGCACAAGAGAAATAAGCTTGCAATAACAACTAAAGTCTAAAGTACATTATAACCTTTGTGTAGTTTACTTTACTGTTACTATTCTACCATCCTGGCTAAATCCATCAACATGAAAATTCAGTTTTATATTACAAAGATTCCTATCTTCACATGTACATCATGTACCCAAAAATACACCTTTGATATACCAAAAAAAAATTAAACTACAAAGTCTACAACCTATATTACAGTAGTAAAATGTTTACCAAGATACCCCAATATTCTAAAAATATAGCTCTATATTTCTGATTCAAAAAATGCTAATATACACTTAATCCAGAGACAGTTACTATAAACATTGTAGGTGAAATAGAATTATAATATATTTCATTAAATCCCCCAAGTGGTTTTATATATATTTATTAAGCAAACTCTGCTCATTTAATATACTAAAATACAACTCAAACTTCATAATTACTCATATTTATCACTTCCCTCTTTACCAAATGTAAGAATCTAGCTAGTAGCAAATGGCATGAGATTTACCTCACACATCGGTTCTTTTGTCATCTTTGTTTTCTTTCAAATATCTTTTTTTTTTTCAGAACACTGTTTGATATAAGCTAGAATCAACAGTTTTATTTTTTCAATTCTTCCCAATTGAACTCCAAAACAACTTATTTCTATGTTTTCTCTCTAAATATGCATATACTGGTCCATATGAAAACAAAGAGACTTTTTTTTTTTTTTTAACTCCAAATGGTTTAAAATAAACAAAAATATTCATACCCAATGAAAAAATTAAACTGTGACAAACAAATAATTATGATCAAAGCATATGACATTCGTTACACTACTAGACAAGCAAAAATAAAATGTTATGATGATGCCAATCAATAATTATTCAATACAGCATGTGGTAGCTTCTTAAATATAATAGCTGTTTATATCCACCTATATTTTCAAAGTTCCTTAAAAGATTTTGGTTTAATCTCTTTATTTTGTGTACTAAAAAAATATTAACCAACAATAACTACGGATAATAAAATTTTATGTTGTTTATGTCCTCCTATATCTTTCTGTTTCATGGTCTTTATAGTAATTATCATCCATGGTACATCACAGCATGACAAAGCTGTGATTATAAGAATTAAGAGGGGCAATTTGGGAATTTTACTTTTTCAATATAAACTTCTTTTATGGTTTTTGAACATTCATCTAAATCAAAACTTATCATCAAGCGCGAACCCTCTCTCCAACATTTGGTCATGCAACCGAAAAGCTTCCTTCATATTCTCCTTAGAAACATACCCATTTATCATCAATACATAAGTCGATCTATCAGGCTTCAAACCTTTCTCAATCATCTTCCCATAAACCATATTAGCTTCATCTATTCTCCCATTTCTACAAAATCCATCAAGAATCACATTATACGTAACAACATCCGGAAAAATTCCTTCACTTTCCATCCCATTGATCAAGTCAAACGCCTTATCCATATCATTTTCCTTCAAATACCCATGTATAAGAGTATTATACGTAACACTATCAGCACTAACATTATTAAACGCCATTTGATTAAAAAATAAACCCGCCTCTTTAACTAATCCTGCCCTACAATACCCTTTAATAATCGTGTTACATGTCACAATTGTGGGCCCCATCCCATTCACGACCATTTCGTCCCAAATCCGTAACGCCTCATTCACATGACCCGTGTTACAAAACCCGTTAATTAAAATACTATACGTTATATAATTTGGGAAAATATTTTTAGATATCATAGCATTCCATAAATCTTTAGCTTTTTCCATCTCACCTTCCTTACAAAACCCATCGATTAAAGTGTTATATGTCACCATATCAGGGTTTATGTTCCTTTGAATCATAGATTCAAACAAATTAACAACTTTTTTCATGTTTCCTTCCTTTGAGTACCCGTTAATAAGTGTCGCGAAAGTGTAAAAATCCGGATATACCCTTCGTTCAACCATCTCGTCAAATAGTTTATCGGCTTCTTGAAGCATTTTACTTTTGCATAATCCGTTTAAAAGTGAATTATATGTAACAACATCTAAAACGCAACCCCGATCAATCATTTCATCCCGAATCTTGATTGCTTCCGACATCACACCGTGTTTGCAAAACCCGTTGATTAAAATTGTGTAAATAACATTATCGGGTGTCAACCCGGTATCTTTCATATTCTTGAAGTAGAATAAAGCCCGATTGAGATTTCCGGATCTTGAAAACAACCCGATAAGTGAGCTATAAGTCAAGATATCGGGTCCCACATTTTGGTTCAAGATTTCTTGAAAAATGGTTTCGGCTTCTTCCATAGAATTACCCTTTTTACAGCATTCGATTAACAAGGTGTTGTAAGTAGTGGAGTCGGGATTCAACCCAATATGAACCATTTCTTTTACTATCTCTTTTGCTCTCTCCAAACCCCCGGTTTTACAAACCCCGTTTAGAATCGAATTATAAGTGTAAAGTCCCGGTTTTAATCCTTTACTTTGCATAGAGGTCATGAGTTCAAAAGCTTCATCGAGAAGGCCTACACGTGAATAACCGTTTATCAATGTATTATAGGTCACGATATCTGGGGAAATACCTTTTTCCTCGAATTCAATCAAGAAAGGCTTCACCTTTTTGAAGTTATGATCCTTACAAATGGCGTTCACCATAATGTTCATTGTATAGATGTTTAATTGAACAACCCCTTTTGAAACGACATCATTGTAAACCTCCCACGCTAAATCAAACCAACCGATCTTAACAAGGCCTCCAAGAACAGTGTTGCATCCGTTTATCGGAACAGAAATTCCCCTGTTTGTGACTAATTTGAAGGCTTCCACGCCTTCTCTTAACTTCCTAGCTTGCACATATGTACGAATCAACAGATCAAAAACGATGGGACTGGAGCCACATTTCTCGTATGTGGATATTAAACAGTCAACGATCATGGTGCGTGACACGCCGCTCTTCCTAATCATTCGAAGCAACAAAGCCTGGGCATCGGATAACCTTCTATTCCTGGAAAGTACGTGAACTGTCGCACTCAAAGAGATCGAGGAATGCCTAAATTTCGGGTGATTTGAGGCGACCGTGTCAAGAAATTTTTGACCCAGTTGCGGATTATCACGACAATGATAAATGACATCGAGAAAGGAAGAGGAGGTTAATTGAAATAGATAATCTTTGGAGGAATTGAGCTTACCTTGTTTCAAACGCATCAAAATCTTCTCAATTAAGAATGTGTCGATGTGTCCTGATTCTTGTGGTGTTGATGGGGTTTGGAGGGATTTTACTGCGTATGTGGAAAGGGGTTTTGTAAGAGAAGCGGGAGCTGCTATTGTTCTTGTTCGGAGAGACGTTGTTGGTGAGAGTAACCCTTTTGGTGCTGCCATTGACGAGTTGTGGGATGCTCTGATGTTGCAAAGATTGAGAAAATGAACTTCTGTGTTAGAGCGACTTGTAGAGGAAAAGGTCTTTTTCTAATTTATACCTTGAGAGTTGAGGCGGACGGTAGCGGAGGGCGGTGGAACCGTCAGACGGTAGGCAGGAGGCGGCATGGGATCTGGGTTGCGACGAACAGGGGCATGGTGATGGGCCAACGAAGGCTATTTCTCTTTGTTGAAATACAGGTAACAATGATAGAAGCATATTTAAGGGCGAACAACAACATGTTTGAGTAACTACAAGGGCCAAGGGAGGACCAAAAAGGGGTGTTTAGTGTTGTTTTTACCAAAATACCCCTCAGATTATTTATTAATTTTCTGAACAGGCCTTATGATTGGGTTCCTTTGAAAGACATGATAGCATATTGGCATTCTTGCCTTGACAACAAAGTGGGATTCAAGGTGAGATTTTTAATTTGACAAGGTTTGGCTTATGAGTAACTTAGTATCAAAATTACCAACTTACCCTTTTTGAATTTTTTTTAGGGTTTTGCTTACCAAAAGAGGCATAAGAAAAAGTAGCAAAGTTTTCATTTTATGGAAAACCAGCAGAACTCAAACATGGTAGTGTTGTAATTGCTGCTATCACAAGTTGTACAAATACATCAAACCCTAGTGTCATGTTTGGAGCAGGTCTTATTGCAAAAAAAGCCTGTGAATTAGGCTTAAAGGTTAATCATAACTCATAAACTATTACATTTTATAAAATTTTAATATCTATAACTTTTTTCCAATATAATTGCTAAAAAAACCAGGTCAAACCATGGATTAAAACAAGTCTTGCTCCGGGCTCTGTAGTTGTTACAAAATATTTGCTCCAGAGGTATTGAAAAAACAAATTCTTCTTCTTGTATTTCTTGAAAATAATAAAATAATAAAATGATAAAATGACTTATATATGGCTGCACAACATGTATTGGTAATTCAGGAGAACTCAGATGAAACAGTTGGTGCTACGATTTCTGAAAATGGTAACCAATTTTTATTTAATAAAAAACTTTTTGAAGGTTTAATTTCGGTATATGATTAATTATCTTTTTGGCATTTATTTGTAGATATTATTGCATCTGTTGTTCTTTCTGAAAACCGAAACTTTGAGGGACGTGTTCATGCCTTAACAGGAACAAACTACCTCGTATCACCTCCTTTAGTTGTTGCCTATGCCCTTGCAAAGACTTTAATTTTATTAAATCTATTTGATAGCGTATATAGTTGCCAAGTCAGCAAACAGATTAGTTAAAAGTTAGTTAGCTATTTGACATGTCAGCATTGGTTTGTTAGATTAGTTACAAGTCTGTTGTAACAATTGGGGCATCTATATAAAAGGTGTATTTGATCAAAGATGAATACAATACAGAATTTCATTCTCTCTCTAAATATGAACTGTTTCACTGTTCAGTATTCACCACTACAAAAATAGAATAAATTACAACTTTTGTACCTGTTGTATGTCAAAAGTTGTGATTTCTGTCCACATGTTTTGTTTGTTGCAAAGATGGCCCTTGTAATGTAGTTTCATTGTACTTTCGGTACTTGGCTTGGATGGCGTTGAAAAGTTCTGTTAAGTCTATGTAAAATGATTATTTTGCCCTCATCTTCTTGAACAAAACCCTACCTTTCTCTTAATATTATTCAAGGATAAAAGAGTTTTAGCTTTAGGTTATATTTTTTGGGTTTTGATTTGGAACTTGGTTTAATTTTAGAGTTTAAGATGAAGGAGACTGACAAATGTTTTAAGGTTTTCATTGAAGGAGAGGAAGTCAAGGGTAAAATAGTCATTTTAGACGTATGCTTTTAGGACCACCATCTGTGCAATAAATCAAACATCTAGACTCAAACTCTACATATATTCACGAACCACCATATTTCAAGAACATGACAATGGACCCACCAGGGGCAAATGAGGTAAAAGACGCACACTGTTTGTTGAACTTTGGTGACAGTATTACAACGGATCACATTTCACCTGCTGGAAGTATTCACAAACACAACCGGCTGCAAAGTTTCTTGTTGACCGTGGAGTTGACCGGAAATATTTCAATTCTTATGGTAGTCGAAGGGGTATTGATCTGAGATTATGGCCAGGGGTACTTTTGCCAATATACGTCTCGTTAATAAGCTCTTGAATGGTGAAGTTGGCCCAAAGACTCTTCATATTCCAACTGGAGACAAACTCTCTGTTTTTGATGCAGCATCAGTGAGTTTATACTTTATAAACGCGTTCATTCTATTATAACTTTTTTTATTGTAAAAAGAAACGTATTTTTATTTTTTATTTTTTAATCAAAGATATAAGGATGCAGGTGAGGCCACCATTGTTTTGGCAGGAGCAGAATATGGTAGTGGAAGCTCCCGAGATTGGGCTGCCAAGGGGCTCATGTTGTTGGTGAGCGTCTTAAAACTAAATTGGTGTTTCTTTTTTTCTTAATGATGGAATCAGAGAAGGAATGGAATGGGTGATTCTATTTGAATGAAAAAAGCTGTTTGTTTTGCGTGATGGAATGGATCATTCCTGAATTCCATTTTGCTAATTTTCATTCCTTAGACACCGGTGCTTTTCCTAAAGTAATAAATTTTAAAACATAAAAGTAGGATTATAATGAATATTTTACAGGGAGTAAAAGCAGTGATTGCGAAAAGTTTTGAGAGGATTCACCGGAGTAATCTAGTCAGAATGGGAATCATACCCCTTTGTTTCAAAGCCGGTGAGGATGCAGACACACTAGGGTTGACCGGTCATGAACGGTAGTACGGTACACCATTGACCTCCCAACTAGTATTACTGACATCCGCCCCGGTCAAGAGGTCACCGTCACCACTGACACTGGAAAGTCATTCACATGCACCGTCCACTTCGATATCAAGGTACAATTTCTCCACTTACCGCTCTACAGTATGACATGACATGATAGAACAGTATACACTGTTGTGTACTATTATGGGACCAAGACTCGGACTCATATATGACATGACTGTTGTGTACCGTTTTGGTACCGAGACTCAGATGACATGACATAGTAGATCATACATTGTTGTGTAGTGTGCTCGGATTAAGATTGAGATTGATGTTAATGTTTTATATAGGGGAAAAGGACTTAAAAGCCCAACGAAGTTTCCAAACCATTCAAAAAACCTCAATCATGTTTTGTCTATTCAAAAAAACCCAACGAACTTAACATTTTGTCTAAAATGTCCAACAAAGTTCCAAACCGTTCAAAGAATCTCAATTTTGTTTTGTTTACGTTCGTTGGGTTTTTTTTTTTTTTGAACAGTCAAAACATGATTGAAATTTTTTAAACGTTTTGGAAACTTCGTTGGTCTAGCAAGTCATTTTCCCGATACGGTAATAAGCCACGTCATCTGTTTCTCTTATTTGACTTTCGGGAAAGTGTAACTTAGTTAGGCTTTTTAGACAAAATGTTAAGTTCGTTGGGTTTTTTTGAACAGACAAAACATGATTGGAGTTTTTTGAACGGTTTAGAAACTTCGTTGGGCTTGTAAGTTATTTTCCCTTTTATACAGGTGGAATTGGCGTATTTTAACCATGGTGGGATTCTTCCATATGTTATTCGATGTGTGTAGATCTTGTGAGTGTAAGTTATGGAAAGTGAAAAATAAAGAGTTATTTATTTTCAATTTATCCAAAGTCAATTGATTGATGCATAGAAAGACTCTCCCTGTATCTAGATTTATTTAGTAGAGTAATTAAGTTCTGTTAAACTTGCTTTCTTGAAATTATTATAGAAACTAGTGTAAATTATATTTTTTTAAACGAAAAATAAACTAAATTATTCATAAATTATTTATTCCACCTATGTCCACTTTGAAAAATGTCCTAAATTATTCCACCTATGTCCATTATGAAAAATGATAAACTATTCCACTTATCCACTTTGAGAAAGGTCCTAGATTATTCGATCTATATCCACCGTAGGAAAAGAGGGACTAGAGTAAATTATATAAATGTAATATGTGCTAGCTTCACATAAAATCACAATTTTACTACAATTTTGCATTTGGTTATTTTGTGATATCATGTTGGTGATTTGTTATCAACAATATTATTTAAGTGTAATGGGATTACTTTGTTGACCAAAGGTGATCTTGATAAATATTAAACAAGTAAGGGAGGTGTGGAGTACACACTTGCTTAAGTTTGATCAAGTTTTCAAAGTACACTGTCATTTAGGGGCGAAGCCCCTAAACGAATGGGGGTCCGGGGGCAGCGCCCCTGGGAGCGGGGTCCAAGGGCGGCAACCCCTGGCGAGGTCCAAGGGGCAGAGCCCCTGAGGAAATTTTTTATATAGGGTATGTTGCTATATAAAAAAATGCATCAGAAAATTATATTTTCAGAGAATTGATCATTGTTTGACCCTTATCCAAACTTCCGTTTTATTTCGGTTTTTATAGTTTATGACAGTTTGAAACTGTCATATGACAGTTTTTAGACAAATATCATAAATTCGGTTTTGGTCTCATTTTCCTGGTACAGACGAAACTATCATCAAAGCATTCTAAATTCTTGTCTCTCTGATTTTTATCCGATTAAAGAATATTGGGAGTACCACCCAAATGCTTTAATCTGAAAGTGTTTTACACAATTCTCAGAATTCCAAGCCTTACTATACCCCAATTTCTAACATATCATTTATCAAGTGGTTGGATATATAGTTTGAATTTCGTTGTGGTTTGGGTGGGTTATTTTTCATTTAATATCAATATTTAATTACAATTTAAAGGTCAAAAAAGTCATTTTAGCATGAGTTAACAGACTTAAACTTATGTTATTAATTAGCTTAAGTAATCAAAACACAACGAAACATTTCATACAAACATTCTACACAAAAATTCAAAGTTTAGAGAAGTATGTAGTTTATATCGTCGAATGAATGTGTAATGATTGGTTAGAAGCATATAAGTTCCCGTTGGATTTGATAACACACACATATAATATCGATTAAATTATATTCCACAAGTACAATATGAACATGATTATACAATAGATATTTTGAAAATGGAGACATTTACTATTTACAAAAATATTTAAAAAAATTAAATACTGTATATGCACGAAAAATATCTCAAGAGAGTTTTGAAGATGAACTTGATTAATAATGGCTGAATTCAGGTATCGATTGTAAAGCAGGATTCCAGCTGCATCTACTTCTTCTATACTTCACCATTCTTCGATCTGATATCAGGTCGTCGACGGAAGAAAACGATGGTGGTGAGTGGTGGTAGACGGTGGCTCTGTTCAAGATTTGCTTCAACTCAGACTGTGTCAGCACCACCTTCACCCTCACACATCTTCTCATTCGAGGAGACGTCATGGTTGTTTCCATGGTGACTGCTGCTGCATTGTCTGCTTGTACTTTGAACCTCACTTTCTTCCTTTCCTTACAGCACTCATCACTTCTGAGTACAACCTGGTCATGCACTCTCGAAATCACAAGAGGTAATTTTGCTTCTTCTTCGTCTTCTTCATGGGGTACTTGTTCTGATTTCAGAAACGGTTTCAGGCAGTTGCCCATTTTAAGCAGGACACCGGAGGTGGTGTGGCGGCGGCCGGTGGATCGGTCGGTGGTGGGCGTTCGGAGCTGATAAAGTTTGGCTTTGGCAAAGTATGTATTTGGTATCATTTCTGTATAATTTGTCAATAACTATTTATAAGAAAATAAATCATGACAAGTGTCCCATAAGGCCATAATCATGTCACGTTTACATTGATCATCGTATATTTATAGATACATAAAAATAATTATATTTTAGTTATTGTTGTGATTTAATAATTGTGTATATTCCAGCTTTATTAATAAAAGTCATTAAATTTTAACAATTTTTTATATGGAAATAATATAGCTATTATAATAAAAAAAATGGGCTGATAACAAAAAAAGAGAACATTATAATTTTGCCAAAATCCGGTTCAAATGTAGTATATGACTTTGTTTTAAAAAAGTCATTCGTAAAATTATATTATAATCTTTTAGTTAAAGAAAACCATCCGATATATAAAAAATATTTACGCTAACAACAGATTATATATTATTTATAATTTTTGTTTAATCTATGATTAAATATCCATGATAATTTCTGGTAGTTAAGTGAATTAATAATAAAGAAAATCAGTTATAAATTAATTTGCTTAGGTACATCTACCGTTTGGTAGGAAATTAAAGTTTGGATTATGTACCAATAAACCACGTTAATCTTTTAGCATTAAAAGAAATAATAAGTTTTTTAAATGCCAATTTTAAAATTTTACTGTAATTAATTGATAAATATGTTAAAATACCACTAACAGTCTTGTAAATGAAAGGATCAATGGTTATTTGATGTATTGACATAACCGACTAATATAAATTATAAAGTAATAGTAACAGCAAATCCAGTCTCTGGTTGCTACGATAATATATAGTTTAATGTTTGGTTAAATAATTTATTCTATTTTATTGGCATTAGACAAGGGATAACTACAGTAAAATCCCTATATTTTGGCAAAAGTTTCAAAAAAGTCCTAAATTTTTTTTTTAATGAAAAAGCCCAATAAACCGGATAAACCGGACAATTTAGTCCTTATTATCCAGTGACCCTCATTTTCCCGGTTAAAGAAGTCTCCGTGGACTGGGCATGCTTAGGTGGACTTAACGAAACTTAAATATATACATCATTCGTTCCTTTCGTGCCAAAAATCGGACCAGGCGAAAATCGAAGCAGGAGGAGGAGCCACCAATGTTGTCTTCATCTTCTGTAGGAAGCAGAAGTTCAAATCGAAGAGTGATGAATCGGCTGAGAAGCAGGTGCTATTGCGGTGATCCCGTTGGAAAATGGACTTCATGGACTCCCTTTAACCCAGGAAGAAGGTTTATAGGTTGCCCAAATTACCAGGATGCACTTAAAGACTGCAAGTTCTTCCAATGGGTGGATCATCCTCTACCAAATCAGTGGTATGCAAATCTCTTACTAGAATTTCACAACAATGTTAATTTGGAGAACAATGCAATTTTCGGGGACTATGGACAACAACAAGTTGAAGGGAACTTTTTTGAGGACATTGTGGAACAACCAGTGGCAAATCAACCCGTGGAAGGAGTGGCCATTCAAGTCCAGAATGGAGAAGAAGGTGGAAAATGGAAATCTTTTTTTTATGTGTTCATGGTTTCTTTTGTTTTTGTGTTGGTGATGCTGAAGGATTTGTAGGATAGACAGAATATGTATGGAAAATAGTGTGTTGGTGTCTTTTATGTGTTTTGATTGTGTTTTGGTGTCTTTTAGGATAGACAAAAGATGTATGGAAATCATGTTGTGTCCTTTTGTCAAGTGAAATGAATTAACAAGTTTATGTTTATGTATGAGTCATAAGTGCTTCGAATGTAATCATGAGTGAATAGAATAGAATGAAAGAATGAATGGAATGAAATAATGAATGGAATGAAACATGAATGGAATCATTAATTAATTGAATCAATAAACAATGGAATGAATATAGAATATAATCAAACATGTTTAATAAACAATGGAATCAATAATGATTGGAATCATTTATGAATGGAATCATGCATGACCGGAATCAAGTATGGTTGGAATCATGCATGACCGGAATCAATTATGGCAGGAATCAAGCATGGTTGTAATCAATTAACATACACAATAGAATCAAATCAAACACAACATAAACATACACAAGTTAATCAAGTTAAAGATGCATTAACCATGTTTATCATAGAACATGTAATATTAACTAAAAGTTTGTACAAAACATAATCAAGGGGCCCAAAGCCTATACTTTATATGGCTATCAACAAAAGGAGCTATCAACAAAAGGGGCTATCAACGGTTGCCCAAAGCCAAAAAGTTTGTACATGTTCTTCACAAAAGGATGGGTTAGAAACACCCTAATCTAGACTAAGTGGGTTGGATGAACTCATCCCCTTCCCATGTTTGACAACCACCAATTTCTTCAATTGTATTTTTGTTATCCTCTATGAAGTCTTCCTCTTTCTCAGTTTTGGCCTCCTGCCCATGTCCTCCACAACCAGGCCCTCCTGATCCATACCTTCTTGTTCCATGCCCTCCTCACCTATGTCATTCCCTCCTGATCCAACCCTTGTGCACCCATTCCATCCTGATTCATGCCCTCTTGATCCATACCTTCTTGTTCCATGCCCTCCTCATCTATGCCCTCTATACCCATATCCTCTTCAATGATTCCCTCTGGACCCAAACCATCTTGATTCATACATTCTTGTTCCATGCCCTCCTCATCCATGCCCTCCTCATCTATGCCCTCTTGATCCATACCTTCTTGTTCCAAATCCTCTTCATTCTCAGTCAAAGTTTCTACAGTCAATTGGCTAGGAAATTCAAAACCCTACAACAAGCATATCAATATAGGGTTAGGCATACTAAACACAATAAACTAAAATTCTGTTGCTAAACCATACCTGTGATATATTAAGATCCACAGGTACATGTTTTAGACCCTCAAATTCATATAATTCTTCCTCATTGATTCCAAGACAGTCCAAAATCTCTTGTGTAGTGTAATTCGACTGTCTCATGAAATCAATATCACTCTTTACATCCACTCTTATTTCATCATCAACTTCAGGACTTTCCACATCTCTTGCCTCTTCATTATCACTCTCAACAGTAGGAGTCACCACATTTTCTTCATCAAGATTAGAAGTTCCCTCACCAAATTTTGTATTCCCTCTACCTCTCTTGCCTCTTCCTCCAGATCCCCTACCACCACCTCTCTTCCCTCTTCTACCAGATCCAATACCCCCACCTCTATCACCTCTTCTAGATCCTATCCAGTTAGTCAAATCAGGATCCAATTTGGGTCTGCCCATTTTCATTTTAGGTTTTGGCTCAGGTACAACCTTTGGATTTTTGCAAGAAGCTTTATTATATCCCCTTTGAAGACAATTCTTGCATTGTACAGTTCTTCCCCTGTTAGACACTTGGGGGTACTTGTCTTCATGCTCAGATACATGTCTCCTTCTTTTGACACTGGGTCGTCCTGGCATCCTCCTAGTTGTAGGTGGAAGGGGCTTAGTATAGCCAGTTTCTTCCCACAAGTTACTTCCATTGACTGGAAGTATGTTAGACTGATATGTAGCCATGTAATTACTCTTGCTGAACCAAGTGCTAATGAATTCCTTTGGATCTTGGTTGGTGTATAAGATTGCTACCTGTGCATGCACACAAGGTATCCCTGTTATATCCCACAGTCTGCAGCTACAGTAATGGTGTTCCAAATCAACTCCATAACTTTGAAAGCCATTCCTAATTTCATATGAATTAACACCACTTGGCACTGCATACCAAGTCCTGCAAATATAAACATTTATCTTATTATAAATGTAATAACAGTCAATTAAAAAGCTACATGTATATATGAAATACAAAATATACCTTATATCCTCAGCAAATTCCTCCATCTTGAAGTGCTGCTTCACACACATCACCTTCTAATTTATGTGCTTCCTCTCTTAAGTTGTAGAACCTTTCCATCATGTAGAGTCTTATTTCTTCAAGCATAGCCAAAAGAGGCTTCTTTCTAGCATCTACAATGACTGCATTAAAACACTCAGCTATCCCATTCTCTACAGACTCACATGCCAAACCACAACCAAAAAATGCCCTGCACCATGTATGAGGTTCTCTAGCCATAAGATGATCATATGCACCTTCACTTAAAGTCTTGATCCTATCCATGTTTATCTTGAAATCACCTTCTGTTGTAGATTTTACAGCTGCCCAAACCATTTTTCTGAATTGTATCCCACTATACACTTTCCTAAAATTGGCATAAATATGCCTAACACATTGTCTGTGCTCTACATGGGGTAGAATATCCTTTGTTGCTTCAACAAGACCCTAGGAAATGAAAAAATATATTAGTAACTGTTATTAAAAACTATAATAGATGATATAAATTAAATGAACCTGTCATTACCTTGTGTTGATCACTAATGACACATAATCCCATGCCAACATCCAATGAAAGATCTTCACTAACTAGTTCCAAGAACCATGTCCAATTAACCTTGTTTTCAACCTCCACAACAGCCCATGCTATAGGGTAAATTTGATTATTTGCATCTCTACCTATTGCAGTTAGTAACTCACCCTTGCATTGTCCCTTCAAAAAACAACCATCCAACCCTATAACCCTACGACATCCTATCTTCCACCTATCTTTGATTGCTTTAAAGCACACATAGATTCTATGAAAAGTTGTAGTCTGATCAGGGTTAATATTAACAGAAATCCTAACTGTGCTACCTGGATTGGACCTCATCAGTTCATGTCCATAATCCCACACTCTTGCATAATGGTCACTCAAATTGCCATCAATTAAGGACAGTGCCGTACAACCTTGATCTATAACATTTTGACCATGACACCTTGCAATGAAATTTACTTTGACTTATTGTCTGCATTTCCTTGTATTTTAACTTTGGCTTCCTTACTAGTTCTTTCACAAACTGCTTTGCTAACCAAGTTGGATTCATAAGCCTTGAACTACTAAAATTCCTAACACATGTATGCCTATCATTCATCTTTTTCTCCTGGAATGATTTTTCAGTACTCATCCATGAAGCACGAACCATAAAAGGGCATTTTTCTGGATCACTAGCACACACAGCCACTAGTCTAACACTATCACACTTCTTCAAACGAATCTTATAGCCCTTATAGATGGAATAATTTGTTAAACATAATTTCAGTTCGTGTCTAGATTCATACCTTTCTCCAATAACCAGTTTCATCACATTCCATTTGACCTTCGGATTATGGATGGAGTATATGATTTCATCTTCATCACTAGATTTGTCAGTGTTTTCCTCATCATCTAGTTCAACTCGAGCATTTTCTCCTTCACCTTCCACTGGTTCTTCATCACTGTCTTCACAAAGAACATTAAGGAATTCATCTTTTCATCTTGAAACTGGTTTGGTTTTTACAAAATCATCAACTTGAACGTCGATTGTGTCAGGCTCAAATACTTCATCCATCGCGAAAGGACACAAGTAGAATCGATCGATCGTTTTGTCGGGAATAAAGGAGACGAGAAAAAAGGGTTTTCCAAGAAAACCTAAATTAATGAGGTCAAGGATACAGTCGATGCCATGTAGACTTCTTTAACCGGGAAAATAAGGGTCACCGGATGATAAGGACTAAATTGTCCGGTTTATCCGGTTTATTGGGCTTTTTCATTAAAAAAAAATTTAGGACTTTTTTGAAACTTTTGCCAAAATATAGGGACTTTACTGTAGTTATCCCCATTAGACAACCACCAAAATTGTCAAATACCCTTTCGTACCCTTATTCAATCCGCCAACGTCACAAGTTTTTTTTAGGTTTACACTAATTGTACTCGATTAAACACTTTTTAGCATATTTTGAGCATTGCATGGGTAATTACCATTGGATTTTTAAACTGTTTACAAAATAATGGGTTCGAATATTATCGACTATTATTTATATTTTTTTATTTTTTAAAAAACAACAAATATATTAATAAAAACGACCCATCGCTAACAAGGAACTAGAGGAGAACGGAAAAGTACAATACAAAAATAAAGATAAAAGCATAAACAAATAAAACGTATGATGCTACAAATTATTAAATGGGGAAGTCTGCAGATCTGCCCAAGAGCCCAAATTTGATTTCCCCCTACATTTGATCAAGAAATATACTACGGATTTAATAAGTTTCGCCCCACTTCTAAGATTGATAAATCTCACTTTGAATACTCGATCATTCCGGAATTTCCATATATTTCATATAAGTCCATAGCAAATTGTAAGGAACTGATTGCGTTTTTTGAAACTGCTGCCACAAGACTCCGCGTATTTCAATAATTCAATGATCGAATAAAATGAGGTATGTTGGACGTCAAACCATTGGAACACTTTCTTTCTTATCGCCTGGGCAAACGAACATAGCACCAGAATATGGTTTGCATTTTCCTCCCCATTGATACATACGCTGCAGCACAAAGAATTGACTACAACTCCCTTTGATGATAGAGCGACCGCCGATGGGATTTTATCCTGTTTTGCCCACCAGATGAAGCAATTCACTGGGCAACCGAACATAGCACCAGAATATGGCTTGCATATTCCTTCCCGTTGATACATACTGTAACATATGTACCCTGGTATGTACCTTGAGGACCTTTTATTTTGGAGTTTATGCATTTTTGGTCCCTTAAAGTAGTATGTGGGGCGTACCTGTAACACCCCGTTTTGAAAAGTACTTTGGTTGTGGTCTAGGAGGCCCAGGGTATAGGCAATTCGGTTGTTTATGGGTCTCGTGTTCTATTCGAAAGGTTTTAAGGCTTGGGTGTGTAGTTAGGAGCGTAGGGCTTCTCGCCACCTTTTCGTGGATATAAAGTTCGTCGGAAACGAACTTAGAATGAAGGAGTTTCAGCACTTTGAAGTTATTGGCAATATTGGTCCTTAATAGAGAAAGATGGCAAGAAAGGATCATGCATGCAAGGTGGCCAGTGCAAGAGTACGCCCAGCGTAAGCTGGGGTACACCCAACATAGAAGGTTTAAGTAGTCGCGAATGGTGGAGACGTACGTCCAGCGTACGGGATGTACGTCCAGCGTACGCTCAGAGACCCAAAACCCTAATTTTAGGGTCAAGCACTATATAAGAAACATTATGACTCAAACCCTAGCCCCTTATCAGCCTCCCCAACCTCAGAAAAACCCTAGAACGTCTCATCCTTTCATTCTTGTGTGATTTTGACCTTGAGAAGCCCATCTTAGTGGTTTTAAGCTTGGAAGAAGAAAAAGGAAGTTGGCAAAGAAGGACTTGGGTAGCTTGAGCTCATAGATCCGGGATAGCATCATCATTTGGGACTCTTTGGATATATAAAGTTCATAACTTTCCTCAAGTATCTTAGATCTAGTGTAATGTGTTTTTGGAGTCATTTTGGTCCCAAGTATAGAACTTTATGGTTCAAATCTGATTTTTGGACTTAGAGTTGCCACTCTCAGTTCTAAATGAGTCCCTAAGGCAGAAAGTTGACATCGTGAATGTATTAATGGGTTCATGCATGAGATCTAGCTATTTCCATGGAAGTATGTTGTCACATTTCAAGTTTGGGCTTATTTGGTGGGTTGCAAGCCATCAAGTAAGCAACTTTATGGTTTAAGACGTTAAAGAGGACATGGATTTGTGATTGTAGCTTATGGAGTAGAGTATTAAGCACTTAATGGGAAAGTGGCTTAAAAGGGAAGTATGTTGAGCGTACATGCAGGTACGCCCAGCGTACACACAATTTAGCTTGTATGCTTAGCGTACATAGGAGTACGCCCAGCGTACTCATCAGTTATGGGCTTGATGTGTTTTGGGCCTCAGGTTGGGCCAAGCAATGGATCTTGGGTCTTTGGGCCTTAGTGGGCCATCAGAAGTCATATGTTTTGGGCCAAGAATATGTTTGGGCTTAGGGTAAGGCCCATTAGAGGGATTGGGCCCAATATAGCAAATTGGGTCATTAGTGGGCCACTAGTGGGCTCGGGAAGCCTACCTAGTGTTGGGCTTTTTTGTATTATGATTTTGGACCTTAGATATGGACCAAGTTGGACTAGGGGTAATATGGTCATATTACCCTAATGAGGAGTATTGGTTTTGAGCTAAGTGTTACTTTGGTACTGATAGCTCAAGGAGCCGAAGGAGCAGCAGTTCGGGAATTGTCAGTTAGCAGGCAGAGGTTTATCGGTGGGATTTCAGCAGTGCGAGGTGAGTCTCCTCATTGTGTGCATGGGTCTACGACCACAATGCCGGCCTATTATGTTTGCGTATATTAAGAAGACCCGGGGGTTATGTAACATCCCAAAATTCAAGGCCAAAAATTTCATTTTTAAATAAGTTATTACATAAAACCATCAATATAAAAACATTCATTATAATATCTCGTGACAAACCAAAGTGTCGGTAAACAAAACATATTATCATAAAACCATATCAGAGTGTAATCCCAGAGATCTCATGTGCGGAAAATATAGTGTGATGCGCTGCGATCGAGCCGACTCCTTTCCTTGAAAACAAAATACCTGAAACCAAAACTGAAACCGTAAGCACGAAGCTTAGTGAGTTCCCCAGGTACCATATACCATACAAACCAACTGATCCATACATGCCATACATAGCCAAGAGCCATACATAACCAACATATCCATAATCAAGTAAGGTGCTATGTGCCAAACATAGTCTTGCCAAGGTGCTATGTGCCAAACATAGTCTTGCCACGGGCCGCACGTGGTCTTCCTGGTCAAGCCTGGGCCACTCCCTAGGTCTTACAGACAAGTGCCAAGGGCCACCCCCCGGTCTTTCATGCAAGTATCACAAAGACAACTATACATACTACTCTACTAGGCTACTCCGCATATAGTGTGCCAGGAGCCACCTCCTGGTCTTCCATACACAATAACATACAGTGCGCCAGGAGCCACCTCCTGGTCTTCCTATCATATTGCCTAAGGCTAACCCCGAGGTCTTCCTATCATACATTATAACATACTGTGTACCAGGAGCCGCCTCCGGGTCTTTCATGCATAATGCCTAGGGCTAACTCCCGGGTCTTCCTATCATAAAAAACTACATGGGTCGGCATTGTGGCCGTAGACCCATACAACCAGTGAGGAGACTCACCTCGCACTGCTGAACTTTGCTGATAAACCTCTGGCTGCTGTCCGACAACTCTCTGAACCGCTGCCCCCACAAGCTCCTCAAGCTACTAACATCAATATAACACTTAGTTTCAAATTGAACTCTAGAAGTCAAACTAAGTCAACTCTGGTCAAAGTCAAAGTCCTGGTCAAAGTCAACCTTCCAGGTCAACCCTACTCGCCGAGTCTGCCTACTGACTCGTCGAGTTCATACGCTCAGAATCCTTTCATTCGCGACTCGACTCGCCGAGTGTACCGATTTCCGAGTCCTGTCCTGTCCAACTCACTGAGTCCCCACTCAACTCACTGATCCGAGTCGTTACTCGAAGGGTTTGGGGTTTCGCGACTTGACTCGCCGAGTCCAAGAACAGACTCGCCGAGTCCAAGGCAATCTTCAACAGACTCGCCGAGTTGTTCATCCAACTCGTCGAGTTCATCCCCATCTTCATACTACTCGCCGAGTCCACTCGAAGGACTCGCCGAGTCTGTTCAGTCCTTCATATATTCAGAGGCTTTTGAGTCATGCATGGACTCCAAACTGTATATCCACTCTTCTAAAGCCTATTCCTCACGTAAAGTGGCAAACTTTACGTGTAGCTAAGGAGATCTAGGCTCAAAACACTATAAACTAGGGTTTAAGACAAAGAGGCTTAACAATCAACCCATAGACTGATGCTTTATGATTCTCTAGGCCAAGATACACTTAGATCTGAAGTAGCAACTTCAGATCTGGGCTTCTAACTCGAAATGGTTCTTAAACTTGCCCTAAAAGCCCCAAATCTCATGTTAAAGGTTGATCTATATGCAAAAGAGTGAAGGTAGCGACTCATTACCTTCAAATGCTCTGGAAAATCCCACAAACTCTGGATATACTGCCAATCCTTGAATCCCCAATGGTTCCCTTCTTCCTTCTTCCTTCAAATCACTCAAAATGGCAAGAAAGCTTGAATGTGCAACAATGGAGGCTTAGGGTTTCGTATTCTGGATAAGAGAGGCTATAAGGAACCCGAAGGGAGAGAATGAGATGCTTAAATAGTGCACAAAGTCCCGGATTTAGGGTTTCCCTCTTCAGACCGGACTCGCTGAGTCCTCTTTGCCGACTCGCCGAGTCGGTTACTTAATCGATCCCCCGGATCCCGCTCCGACTCGTCGAGTTCCTCCCTGGACTCGACGAGTTGACCCCTTTGACTTAGGGTTTTATTTCCTTTCTTGGCCTTTCTGATTTTGGGTGTTACAGGTTAACCCCAGGCATTTTTATGATATATGTTCCAGATTACATTCCGATGTCGGGCGAGTCCCGAGGTATGTTAATTAGTATGCTAGAGGTCTTTGTGATTCTTGCATGTGTCAGTAGTATGTTTCGGATTAGGGTCCGATGTCGGGGTAAGCCCGAGGAATGTTATATGTTGCATAGTAGTTGATACTTGTTGGCTTTGTGATACATGTATATGCCTGGTAGGGAGGTGAGTGTGGGCGAGGTCCCGTATCTCACCATTAGCAGGAGTATGGACGGGGTTCCATGACTCTTCAGTAGCAGAACAGGGGCGGGGTCCAAGATAGGCGAGGCCTTAGAACAGGAATACAGTAGAGTTTATTTGCTTATTGTGCTGGTATGTTTATGTGATTATATATGTATAGCGGGCGGGGTCCCGAAGACAGGCGAAACCTAAGAGAAGCATATATGTATACCGAGCAGGGCTCGATGCCAAGTAGGGCCCGATGCCGGAGCGAGTCCGATGTCGGGCTAGTCCCGATGCAGTGTGCGGGGGCCCAGTATGTGGTTATATGTATGGTATGTGATAGTATGGGGAACTCACTAAGCTTCGTGCTTACGGTTTTCAGTTTTGGTTTCAAGTACTTCCGGTAGCGGAGGGAAGAGCTTGGGTTGACTGCATCGCACACACCAAGATGTTTTAGCCTGGGATGTTTTACTCTGATATGATATTTTTACACATGATACTCTGATTAAATATGTTTTGAATGAATGGTTGACAACTATGGTTTTTATTAAGGTTTTTAAAATGAAATTTTTGGTCATGATTTTTGGGATGTTACAGTACCACTTGGTACGCTTAGCGTACTGGGCGCAAAGCCAGTACATGGAGCGTACCACTTGGTATGCTTAGCATACTAAGTTGATGGCGAGTCGGAACCCAAGTCACGTACGCTCGGCGTATGTAGACTTTAATGAAACCCTAATTAAGGTCATGCACCCAATATGTAACAGCCCAAAACTTAGGTCAAATTTTTCATTTAATAATTATAAATGACATTCATATTTGTTATCCATAATCCCATTACATAACATATTGTTCAAAAGACCAGAGTATCCAAAACAACTAGTGCGGAATTACTGGAGAGTGCACGTTGTGCCATCAAGCCGGGCCCTTGCCCTTAGAACCAGAAGTACCTGAAACACCCAACAAAACTATAAGCACATGCTTAGTGAGTTTCCCAAAATACACAGATCACATAATCATATAATGTCATATACATATACACATAAAACTGCCATGGACTCCCTCCATGGTCTTTAACTGGGATGTCATTGGCTACCCTCATGGTCTTATACCTAAGTGTCATGGGCTCCCCCTCATGGTCTTACCAGGTGCCATGGGCTCCCCCATGGTCTTCACGTAAATCAATACACACCAAATAACAACCATTGTATAATCAATTATATAGATTTCACGTCTAGTAATGGGCCGACATTGGTGCCTTCGACCCATTGGTATAGTGAGAAGACTCACCTCAGTCTATTGAACACAAAAGTTGCTCGACTACTAGCCCAAAATCTCACACTGAATAAATATACAAAACACCATAATTAGAATTGAGTCACAACTTAGATAAATGCCCAACATCATAATCTAAGCCCCACCATTAAAGCCCAATTGTCTAACCAACATTAATGGGCCCAAGATCAAAGTCCAAACTACAATTGGCCATATGGCCCAATCATAACATCAAAAGCCCAAAGCAATTCCTAAGGCCTAACATCTCCTAACGGTCCAGACCCAAATCTAAGTGAAGTCCAATTGGCCCAAAAAGTCCATCGAAACCCAACTCTCACAATTGAACGTACGCCCGATGTTCATCAGAAGTACGCTCAACGCACTGGGTTCCTCGGCTGTACGCGCAGCGTACAGGTTGGTACACCTAGCGTACAAACGTATAAAGCTCATCCTCCATTAAGTGCTTAATGCATGAAGACTTTACGTTTCAAACTCAGATCTAGGTCGTTTAAAGAGTCCTAAGGCATAAAGTTGGCAACTTTATGCCTTTGCATGCCATGTATGCTCCCAACAACTCATTCTAACCCATTAAGACCTTTCCAAGGGTCTTAAATCATGTATGGAGGCAAAGCAACCATCAAGTTTGCATTTTTATGACATGATCAAGCTAAAGGACCTCAAATCTATCTTTCCTAACCTCTAGAGTTGCCCAAACTCCCCAGAGATGATTCATGAACTCAAAAGAGGACTTCTTAGAAACCTTAGCTCAATAAACAACAAGGATTAGCAAGGAGAAAGCTTTTTACCTCCACAAGCTTTCTAAGTTGCTCCAAATGCAAGATCCAAAAGCCTTTCCCACGTTCAAGCTTGCTTCCACTTCCTTATCTTTGCTAACACACCAAAATGAGGTATTTGAGGCACTCACAAGCTCAAGAGGCACACACAAAGGATTTTAGGGTTCTAGGGATGTTTGAGAGTGATGGAGGTTGGTTAGGGTAAGGTCCAAATGACTTAAGGACGTTTAAATAGGTCACAAGTCCAAATATTAGGGTTTTAGCCATCTGCCACGTACGTCCCGCGTACCTGCTAGTACGCCCAGCGTACAAGCCTCAACCATTCGATGCTCACTCACGCGTACGCTAAGCGTACCCAAATGTACGCCCAACGTACGGAAGGACCCTTTTTGCCAAAAATGAAATACTATAGGGTTAGCAAAGGAGTACCTGAATTGGAGTGTTACAACTCTCCTCCACTTGAAATAAATTTCGTCCTCGGAGTCCGCTGTCGCAAATAGATTCGGGTAGTGTTCTCTCATCTCGTCCTCCGGCTCTCAAGTCCATTCGGAGCCCCTCCGATGCTGACATTGCACCTTCACTAGCTTCACCACCTTGTTGCGAAGAGCTTTAGTTTTTCTATCCAAAACTGCAATAGGCTTTTCCACATAATTTAGGCTCCTATCTACCTGAATATCATCCAAAGAAATAACCAAGGTTGTAGAACTCGCTACTCGGTACCTACTCGGCCGACTGGGGTGCAGCGAGTACCCGGGAGTACTCGGGGAGTACTCAGATTCGGTAATTCGTGTAGAAATATTTTTTGGAAAATTATATATGCCAAAATCATAAGTTAAAATCATAATTCGATTGAAATATATAACCAAAATTAGATACATATGAATACATAAAAACTGAAATACACACAATTGTCTCACTATGTGAATAATTACTGAAAATTTAAGATATATATGTAGTAATAATAACATGTGTGTGTTAAATAATAAATCATTAAGTGCGTTATACATATTAATCTTGAAATTCTTGATTTTTTCTCTTTTTATGACAATTTTGACCCTTTGACCGAGTTTGACCGATTTTGACAGAGTTGGCCGAGTTTGACCGAGTAAGACCGAGTAGGCCCGAGTTTGACCAATTTTTGAATGAGTTTGACCGGTTTTGACCGAGTTTGACTGAATCCGAGTTTTTTTGGCCGAGTTCACATTACTCGCCTCGGTGGAGGGCCGATTCCGAGTACTCGGCCGAGTAGGCCGAGTTTTGCAACCCTGAAAATAACTGTGACTTCATCTGCAACACACTTCCGGAGCTGAGACACATGAAATGTGTTATGGATCTGACTGAGCTCACCCAGAAGATCCAACCGATAATCAACCCTGTCAATTCGGGCATAAATCCTGAATGGACAAATGAATTGGATAAAAACACTAGACGAGTGATACAGATTGGATACGGATAAAACCCCCAAAAAAATTGTCATCAATAAAACCAAAACCATACAAAAATATATAAAATTAAATGAGTTTTACAACTCTAGACGTTTTAAATTAAAACCATAGTTTTTTTTAACAAACTCACCATTTTGCAATTTTGTATAATATAACATAACCTTCAATTTAATTATACTTCTTTTTTTATTTCTTAATGATTTTTGTCTTTCATATTATCCAGAAGAACGGATTGGCAAATGGCATACGAGAAGACAAGCAAAAAAGACAGAAGGTCGGCGTTTCGGTTATGATATCGGCCACCGCTACCCTTAATAACCGGTCAACCGCCCCCATTACACGCTCACCGCCACCCATTAAAACCCTTTGTGAGAAATAGGTTCTTTTATTTAATTTTACCTTTTAATCAAAATTACAAACAACCAAATCAAATCTTCTGATTTCTGGGGGAAAGGGAGGAATACCTAATTCCCCAGAAAAAAAAGAAGTAAAGAACTTTAAATCTCCCCAAATTAATTCACTTTAAGTTTGGAAAACACTAAATCATGACTCATTTATCCAAGAAGTTATTGCGTTTGAAGCTCAAAAGATCAATTGTCTGGCGTGTTTCTATTCTCCGGCGTTGTGTTGGATCTCTTCGGGACCAAGTTCTTGCTTGTTGGATCGATAAACCCATTCGCTACCGTCAAATAGTGGAATCCGGCCCCTCCGCCACCATCTGCCACCGCTTTCCTTCCGGTGAAATCGATTCATCTTGCAGTGAAATGACTACCGTCTCCGACGTCTGTGATCATGACAATGACGCTTCTGATTTAGTTGCTTTAAAGATTAGCCTGTTGGGAGATAATCATATCGGCAAAACAAGCTTCTTGGTTATTTTTAATCAATTTTATAGAATACCCTTTTCGTTTTTCAGTCAATTAAACAATACCCATTTGCCGATTTTGATTAATTTGTCATCAAATAATCGAATTTGAAGGCAAAGTACGTAGGGAAAGAGAAAAAACCAGAAGATTTTCCGGCGACGGAAGTTAAGAAGATGGATAAAATTCTATCCGTTAGAGGAGCAAGAATTTCTTACAGTATCTGGGAAGTTGGTGGCGATGCATTTTCTGCAGGTAAAAACATGAATTTCGATTAAGTTTTTGAACAATTTCTTCGATTTTGGAAAAGGGTTCATGAAATTGAAATGGGTTGCGATTGCAGATGGTTCCACGGCGGCTATTCGTGCCGCCTGTAAAGACTCGGTAGCTATGTTGTTTATGTTTGATCTTACCAGCCGATGTACATTGAACAGGTGTTAATAATTAAGTTATTATTATTATTATTATTATTTATTATTATTGGTGGTTTTTGAATTGGAAGCTGTTAATTGAATTAGGGTTCTTTGATTTTCAGTGTAGTTAACTGGTATCAAGAAGCAAGAAAACATAATCAGGTGAGTGGATGTTAATTTTTATTTCATTTCACAATTCTTTGAAAATTGATTATCGACTTTTTTATGTGATGGTTCCGGTGAAATTGATTGGTTGCAGACGGCGATTCCGGTGATGGTCGGTAGCAAGTTTGATGATTTTATTCAATTTCCAATTGAAATGCAATGGACGATATCAAGCGAGGTGATTTTTCTATCTTTATTTAACTCGAAATACTATCTTTTTACTTGTTTATTGTTTATAAAGTAGTATATTTAAATAAGATTTGAAAATATAGTACTATAAAAGTAATATCCTTTTTGAAAGAAAAAAAGTAAGTCAAAAGATTTTTTTGCATTAGGAACACACTTTGAATAATTTCTTTATATATTTTCGTTTTAATTTATTTCTTTACATAGTATATTCAATACTATATTAAAGATATATATAAAAAACAGTCATGAATGCATAAGGAACTAAGATGTTAATTTTTAAGTTAGTCCATATCCTTTAAATCAAGTGCAAATTGCACTTAAAACATTCTACTCATGGTCAATTTTTGTAAGATCAAGACCGAATCAGAAGCTTCTAATTATGGTATTACGTAGTCTGAATCTGACCGAGTCATACTTAGCCTCTAACCATACTCAATAAAAGACATATCAAAAAGCTCCTAAGATAACAACTTATTTTTTTATTATTAATTATCTTATTTTAAATCAAGTGTAAACTATACTTTAAATATCGTATTTTATCATTTGCAAACTTATGTCTTAAACATTGGTTATGGAAGAATGTTTAGTGAACTAAAATTTGATTAGAAAGTGCCAAGTATTTTATAAAATGACTTTCTATCAATTATGCAAGATTTATAACATATAATAATTTGCTCAAATTCTTTTTCTTTTTGCAGGCGAGAGCATATGCAAAGGCCATAAACGCTACCTTGTTTTTCTCAAGTGCATCTTACAACATAAATGTGAATAAAATCTTCAAATACGTGACAGCAAAACTTTTCAACTTGTCATGGAATTTGGAACGTAATCTTAAAGTTGGGGAACCAATTATTGATTTTTAAGAGTGTGTTTTTTGTTAAGTTGATAGGAGATCATGATCCCTTATAAGGTGAAACTTTTAGGTTTTGGTTATGTTCTATCAATTTTCAATTTTCATGTACTAAAGAGTGTGGTGGAGGCTTTGAGTCACCCTACACCATGGTTTAAATGCATCAATAGACGATTGTGGTTCTTTATCTATTGGAATGATTATCTTAAGTTTTACACATTATTAATGATACAAGAACATATTTGTCTATGTTTAAAGTTATGTTTCATAAAATTATTGTTGAAAATCAAAGTAAATACTTGTTAATTAGCAAAGTAGGTCCAACCAAGTTACCTTGGTTTTGATTAGGTAATGATTTATTGTAGTTGTACATGAGAACATGAATGTCACTTGTTGAATCTTTAATAGTCAACTATCATTGTTTGTTTCTATTTTTAAGGTAAATGATGTTATCTTCATGATGATTCATGTAAAAAAGGTGTTTGAAGTAGACATTTTTCTTCTTGGTGTTATCTAAATGATGATTTATGTTAAAAGGTTTTTGAAGTAGACATTTTTCTTTTCTTCTTGTGGTCTAGAGTCTAGACCATTTTTTTTACCTTGGTCAAGACCATTGTTAAATGAGAACTTTTTTTTAATCTTGGTCATAACCTTTGTTGAATGAGAATTTTGCAAACTATTGTTTTGGCCTCGAAAATTATACATTAGTTTCTTTAGATTATGTTCATCAACAATTCAAACTATTTTTTTTCAATACAATCTAGTCATTTTAAGTTTTATTAGATTATCAACATTTCAAATGAATCTAATTTTTTATGAATAAAAATTATCAACAATTATAGTGAATCTAATTTTTTTATTCATGTGAATCTTAAAGAAATCTTGTTATTATCATAGAAGATGACTACGATTTGTTTCTTTTTATCTTTTTCTGTTTTATAGGGTTTTGTTTAGAGTTTGTTTTGAGCGATGATTATGTTTTCTGGTTTGTATATATACTAGCTTTGTGATTGAATGAGAAGTAGCTTTTCCAATAATCAATTTGTTTATGGTATTAGAGCGGATCTTACACCCGCTTTAGAAAATCACGTCGCTAGAGATGGCGGGAGACAAACTAGAGTCGTCGAAGGATGGAGTCGCCACCAACATTAACTCCAATTCACCATACTACATTCACTCCTCAGAATTCAATTCTAAGCAGATGCACGTGATAAAGGGATGGCTAACCACTGCCATGGAAAAAGACATTAGTTCAAGCGTGAAATAAACCAATACAGCTAGTAAGATTTGGAGTGATCTTGAAGAAAGATTTGATAAGGAAAGTGCTCCCCGAGCATATGAACTGAAACAATGGCTTACAACAAGGAAAGAAGGAAGCCTCGTTTTTTTTTTTTTTTTTTTTTTTTTTTTTTTAGAACGACGGGTTAGTATATGTTTGGGATAGAACCCATGACCTCCTTGTTAGTAACTCCTTGTTAGACACCTTGTTAGCCAAGTGGGCTAGCCCCAACTAGCTTGTAGCCCCGTTTCTAGTTACTACACAAAATTGTGATCCATATGGGATGAAATACACTCGATGACACTCACCCCTTGCTGTGAGTGTGATGGTTGTACACGTGATGTGTGTAAAAGGTTGAACGAATCCAAGGATAGAGAAAGGCTCTATGAATTCCTCATTGGACTTGACAATGAGTATTCCACCATCAAAACTCATATTTTAGCCATGAAACCCACATCAAGCCTATGTGTACCTTATCACTTGGTGGCGGTAGACGAGCACCAATGAGCCATTGTTGCTGCCAAGAAACCCACAAACGAGGTTGCAGCTTTCCAGGTGTTTGTTCAAGGGAAAAAGGAGATCGGCATTGATCATAGGCAACAAAACAAAAGGGTATTGCAAAAGGATCTCAACCGAGGCAACACTGATGAATCAGAATATACCTTCTACGAGATAAATGGTCAGAACAAGGAGGGTTGTTTCAAACATATCAGGTATCCAGATTGGTGGCCAGGCAAAGGAAAACAAGAAAAAGGAAAGTCAATGGTATCATACGCAAACTCAGAACCTAGTCTTATACCTGGTTTGTCGACTAAACAGTACCAAAGGATCCTCAAACACTTTTTAAATGATGAAGAAGCCAACACTTCTCCCACGGTTAACATGGCTGGTAAGACTGATCATGACGAGGCTTAGGTTGTTGACTCAGGCGCAACTGAACACATAACTTGCAATCAAAAGTTACTTGAAAATGTCACTAAAAACTCCTTCGAACCTCCTATCATCATTCCTAACGTTGATCTAATAAATGTTGAAGGGATAGGAGATTTCAAGCTGCAAAACAATATCAATATTGATAAAGTTTTGCATATACCTGATTTTAGTTTCAACTTATTGTTTATTAGTAGACTCACCAAAGACTTGCAATACGCTATAACGTTTCTTCCTTATTTTTGTTATATGCAAGACTTACTCTCGAGGAACCTTATTAGCTTGGGTGAGTGCAAACAAGTCTATACCGAATGGGCTTGGAAGTGGGGAAAAAAAAGAGTGTTGATAACGAAAAAAAATGTGGATCTATGGCATAAAAGGTTAGGTTGTCACAACTAGCAAATTAGGGTTAAGATTTCTAGCTTGTACAAGACAATTTCTTGGTGTAATCTTGTAACCCTACCTTTGGTGTAAATCAAACTTCAATATCATATACGTTTATACATCCAAAATTTTGATCCAAGTCAAAATTTCCTCGTGAAGCACAAGAACTTAACCCAATGAGCTATGTCCACTCAACTTTGGGCCTTGACCCAAGCTTTCTCGGTCCAAACCTCTTAATGGACCAAGACCTTATTGGGCCCTTTTTGGGCCAAAAGCTCTAGTTAATCTTTATATGGGCTGAGAACCCATATTTGGGCCGAAAAATCTCTATTTAACACTGTTTTGGGCCATAAGACCCTTATTGGGCCGTGAACATCTTTCTTAGACCATAATGGGCCAAATACCACTATAAGATATTACTTGGGCCGAAAACCATCTAATGGGCTTTGTAAGGCTGAAAACCACTATTGGGCCCCTATTGGGCTGAAAACTCTCCCACTTGATTTCTTTGGGCCAAATTCATTTCTTTTGGGCCTATTATTGGACCAAAATCATTTTTGGATCCAAACCAAGCCCAAATTCGCATATAAAACTGAAAATCTAAATGGGCCTAATGTGTTTTCGGTTATCCTTGAGGAAAATGAACCCATTTTTCCCCTTGCTACCTAAACCGATCGATTTTATAAAAAAAAAACAAAAATAGAAGAAATGAATTAATCTAAGAATGACACCTCATCTTTGCATGGCAAATATCAAAGCTCATTAACCTACATCCATCTAGGAGAGGAGAAATTATCCAACAAATAACAATGAACATCTCTCTTTTCCCCCTCCCTCTTTATCTCGACCGATTCACCACCTTTCACCCCACCATTCATTTCAAACTCCATTCACTTCTCATTTCCTCTAAACTCTCAAAACTTCTTCATCCCATTCCTCTAAAAAACATGAGTTGTGTGTGTGCTTTCAAGAGGATTTTTCTTTAAAGTTTCATCCCTTGGTAAGTTTATGACAAACTCTTTTGCTTTGTTCCAAGTTTGTGATAAAGATCTTTCACTTACTCTCTCTTTTTCGTGAATATGCCTCTTAGTACCATCTCAACTTCGAAAACCTCCTCAAGGAAGCAAGCTAGGCCGAAAACCTCCTTCATCTTCCTCTTCAAAACCGAAAAAGCCCCAAGGTGAGCTTCATACCTCTTGTTTTCGAGATTTTTCTTCTTTAGGGGAGAATACAAGTCTAGTGTTGTGTAAAATCTTTATATAATTGCTTGCATGTGCATGTTTTACATGTTATGTGTGTGAAATGTTGTGATATTGTGCTAAAAGTCCACAAACTCGAGATTTAATTCAAGTCTCAAGTTGTGGAAACAAGTTACCTTGTGTAACTTTTCACGTTAGGTTGATAAGTTAAAAATGTTTTAAAATTTACCATGAGACTAAAGAAAACATAAAAATGGACTATATTTGACAATAAAATGAAAAATGAGTCATTTTTGGTCATTTCGGTAAAGAGGGACCATTTTTGGCAATAAAAGTAAAATTGGGCCATTTTTGAACATTTTAGTAAAAATGGGTCGAAAATGGGCTTTTTAGTAAACATGGGACATTTTTGAGCATTTTAGAAAAATGGGCCGAAAATGGGCTTTTTAGTAAACATGGACCATTTTTTAACATTTTAGTAAAAATGGGCCGAAAATGAACTTTTTAGTAAACATGGGCCATTTTAAAAATTTTAGTACAATGATCTAATTTTGAAAACTTTAGTAAAAATGGGCTATTTTTGAAAATTTCGGTATTATTGGGCCATTTTTGACAATTTCGGCATTATTGGGCCATTTTGACATTTTTGGTAATAATGAGCCATTATTGACTATTGCAGTTCATAAATTGCAGTCGTGAATTTACACTAGTAGCATTATTTATAACGTTAAATAATAAAATTCAATAATTGCGTAAATCCTGTTAGGGCTTTTGTGAGACATTTCTTTGCAGTACCTATGTAGTGTACACTGTAAGTCCTGTAGTTATAACTAGAGTTTCCTAGAGGGAGAACAAGAGTTTGTGTATAGATCTATACGGGGTTGACACCCCACACCTGAGCTGCTCGCTACAGCTAGACAAGCCGGTCTAGGGTGACAAATATCTTACTAGAAACCGACGCCTGAAGAACGTCAAGACAGACACTTCGTCATATTAGTATGGTTATAACGACTCACACAGAGGATAACAATATTATTATAAGATTTACGCGGAAAATACTCACTCCACTCATTTTTATAAAGTACAAACATTGTGTCGACTAATTTGCAACTAGTTTCATCACTCCGGTCTTAGGGCTTAAGACCACAATTTTTCATAAAACAGAAAATACAGGATTTTTTGGGAACCCTCTTTATACAATTTCAAACAAGGAAAAACAAAGAACACACTTGCAACTATACATGATTTAAAACAAGACTCACAAACTATTTTTACAGAAAATATTGGATTTTCTGGGGTTTCAACTATTACAAAGTGAGCCGGTTCTTTTCAGCTATGGATTTGAATGAATGTTGTATTTTGATTTCATCATA